TCCTGGAGAAGTTGGCATAACACTTCCAAGGGACACGTGAGATGCTGTACAGAATCTGGAAAGCTACCAGTAGCTCACAAGCTGCCTGTTGGAAACCCCTGGGTGAGATCATCTGAGTCGACAATGAAAGACAACCTCCATGCCAATGCCAAAGGCACTGATATCAAGCAGCCCCAACCAGTTTTTCCACTAGCAAAGCAAATGAAGCCCTTCTAATTTCTGCTCAGCTGGCATAACTTTCGGAAAGAGACTTGGGCCAGAGTTACACAAGCTCTGGGTGCAGAACTGGCTCACGCATGCAGGTCCCTTTTTGAAACTTATGCCAGGAGCATAATGACCTGATCACCCTTCCTGTTCCTTCCATAACCAGGTAAAATGCACAAGCCTCCTAGAATGAACACTTCCCAAGCTAATCCCTTATAACCGCGTTAAATTTCCTCTCCAGATCTCCATGCCTCTGTAGGGAGGGACCCACTTTCTCCTTTGAAAATCTGGGGTTTTTGTTTTCTGCTCCAACTAGGACAACTTCCTTTATTGTACTTTCCAGGAGGAAAAAAAGACCCTTACCTCATTATCCTCTGCTCTTCTTCCATTTGCTTCCTCACCTGTTGTAGTTCCCTGATCAGCTCAACATCTGTGCCATTCACCCAGGTGTACACAACATCGATAGGCATAGGCAAACAAAGCCTATACAAATCAGAAAGATGGGGAGAAAGTGAAAAAGAAAACTTGCCAAGCCTGTCTAGCATTGCAGTTAGAAGTAAGCATAATAGCTCAGACTTCTGCAAACATTCAGTTGAAACTCACAGATTAGGAACAAAAAAATTGTTATGTTCGGCACATTTATTTAGTTAGCCACTTTCTCATCTTTGTCCATTGTTTTTATAGTACCATGAAGTTGGAATTCTCTTTTGCTTAGTACTCAACCTGTTTCTTCTTTACCTCCTCCTTAAAAGTCATCCTTTTTTGCAGCATTTCTCAAAACATTCTGAGGCTGGGCTCCCCTTCTAACCAGTTGGTCCCAGACCCAAGCTGCTAGGCCCTAATGAGTTCAGCTCCAGCTTTATCCCATCCCTCCCCCAGAAATAAAATCCTTTTTATCATCACTGCCATGACCAGAAATGTTGAGAGAGATGCCTGCCTACTCTACTGGAAACCAGACTTTCTGTTTTGTCTCCTAAAAGACTCTTCTTCCTGGCTACCTACTCCAGATTCCCCTTGATCTAGGGGAAGCATGGGGAAACTCCCAGATAATTCAACTTCTCTTTGTATCTCGGTAAGCATCAGCCAATTATACTGTTATAGGTGGGTGCAAACAGACCAGCATAACACCAACAACAGAAGAAGATGAATAAAAATTAACTTCACTCTCATTTGCTACCATTAGTTATACAAAGGAAAAAGCTGAGCAGAAAAAGCTCACCTGAGCAAAAGGGAAATGAAATGAGAACGAATACAATTCTCCTTTCCTATGTCAACTTTACCTCTCTATAATGGTGAGTGTTGGATCCCCAAGCATCGAGAATAAATCCACGTTTTAAAGAAAAGCAAAATTTATTTCAAAGCGTTGAAGACATACTCAAACACGTTCTTTGTTAGAACTGGGGATACACAGTTAGGTCAAGCATAATAAAGGAACTTCAAACAGATACAGATCCAATGAATATCTTTCCCGCTGGCGGGCTAAGGAAACGGTTGCGCGCCCAGTACATGAGAACCAGGCAGAACATCAGACAAAACACAGGTGCAGTAGTCCTGGGAAAATCAATAGGCAAGCATTACAGCATCTTCTCCCCCACACAACCTCCAGCAGTTATCTTTTGCATTCCAAAGCAGGAACAGGATGATAGAAGCCAAGCCGGGTGTAACAGGGAAAGGATATGTACACAGAGGTCACAGAAAACAGAATGGCAGCTTGCTGACATACTGCCCCCCTTAAAATACACTTACAACACACCTCCCGGCCTGGGCGGGAGACCTCCCGGGCTGGGCGGGAGACCTCCCGGTTTGTCCGGGAACCTTCTGTGGAAACTACGGATCAGGTAAGGGGCCCGAATATCCCCTTCTTCCACCCATTCGCGGTGCTGGGGACCGAAATCAACCCATTCGATAAGGTACCAGAGTTTACCACGTTTCACTTTACAATCAAGGATATCAGCTATTTCAAAATGTTCATCCCCTTCCAATATGACAGGCGGAGGAGGAGTAGTCTCTGGTCTCCAAGGAGACGGTCCAGGATCCTTCTTCAATAGACTCATGTGAAAGACAGAATGCAAGGCACGTAAATTCTTAGGCAAAACAACATCAACTGCCACATCATTTATGACTTTACGCACTTTGAACGGACCAATGAACTTCCATCCCAATTTTCTGCTAGGCCGCAGCATCTTAATGTTCTTGGTCGAGACATACACAAGATCCCCAGGTTTCAGATCAAACCCCACCACCCTACCCTTGTCTGCCTGGGTCTTGTAAGCAGCCTTGGCTGCGTCAAGTGTTTGGCATAGCAGCGGCCATGCTTTTTGCAAGGACATACACCATGTATCAGCATCCCCCACAGGACGTTGGCCCATCCCCTCCAAGAAAGGGAGGGGGGGACTGTCGTAACCAGATACAGCTTTATAAGGAGACATGCCTGTGGAGCTATGGACCGTATTGTTATAACAATATTCAGCAAGAGGCAATAATTCACACCAATCATTCTGTTGATAATTAGTAAAACAACGCAGGTATTGTTCCAGAGTCTGATTAACCCTTTCCGTTTGTCCGTCAGTTTCGGGATGATACGCGCTGCTGAGCCCTTGTTCGACCCCTAAAATGGAAAGAAGTTCCCTCCAAAATTTAGAAACAAATTGGGTCCCCCTGTCAGAAATTAACTTAGCAGGTAATTGATGAATTTTCACCACGTGGGACATAAACGATTTCGCCAACCTCTGAGCTGTAGGCAAGGAAGGAAAAGGCACAAAATGAGCTTGCTTAGAAAACAAATCAACAACCACCCAAATAACAGTGTTCCCTTTGCTCGCAGGGAGGTCAGTAATAAAATCCATGGACACCACTTCCCATGGTCTCGACGGAGTAGGGAGTGGCTGCAGTAAACCAGGAGGCTTGCCCATCCTGGGTTTAGTTAAGGCACAGGTTTGGCAGGACCTAACAAACATCAAGAGGTCTTTGCGCATTTGTGGCCACCAGAATTGCCTGCGGATGAGTTGCAAAGATTTAACGAAACTCCAATGCCCTGCCAGTTTCGAACCGTGAGCAGACTCCATCACCTCCCTCCTCATCGAAATAGGCACATACAATTTGTCTCCAGAATAAATCAGACCTTCAGGGCTACGGACACAATCAGGTAATGTCTTAAGGGAGGCATCATCCTCAGCAGTAAAAGCAGAAAGATATTTCTGGACCCAGGCCCCCCCTCCCACAGGGAACAGGGAAGGCGAAGTCTCATCAGAGTGTGGAATCGTTCGCGCCTGCGCCCGGGTGACTACGGCCCCCCCCAGATGGGAGGGGGAAAAAACAGAGTCCATGATGATCTCACGCTGACTGTCATGTTGTGGGAGGCGCGAGAGCGCGTCAGCCAGGGAATTAGCCGCCCCCGGGAAATGACGAAGTGTGAATCGAAACTTAGCGAAGAAGTCCGCCCAACGAAGTTGCTTAGCGTTGAGAGAACGGGGGGATTTCAGCATCTCCAGATTCTTATGATCAGTCCAGACTTCAAACGGCAGTTGCGCCCCCTCCAGCCACTGCCTCCAAGTGGAGAGAGCCAGCCGGATCGCTGACGCTTCCTTTTCCCAAATCCCCCAGTTTCGTTCGGCATCAGAAAACTTTTTAGACACAAATGCCAGGGGATGTAACCGACCATCTTCCCCTTCTTGCAAAATAGCGGCCCCCATAGCCACATCCGAGGCATCAGTTTGGACAATAAACTTCTTAGATTCATCAGGGCGCGCCAGCACCGGCTCGGAGGTGAACATCAGTTTAAGTTTCTCAAAAGCCTCTGCGCAAGCAGGGGACCATTTAAGCGGGGCGCCCGGTTTCGTAGCATCAAAACCCTTCCCTTTGGTCTTTAGCAACTCAGTCAGGGGAAGGGCAATTTGCGCGAAATTCTGGATGAAATTTCTGTAAAAATTGGCAAATCCGAGGAACATTTGCAATTGTTTGCGGGTCCTGGGGGGCTCCCAGTCAAGTACAGCCTGAATTTTAGCAGGGTCCATTTCAACCTTCCCCCCAGAGATGCGGTATCCCAAAAAGTCAATGCATGTCTTGTGGAATTCACATTTTGACAGCTTAGCAAACAAGTGGTGTTCATAAAGTCGCTTAAGGACCTGGCGCACCAATTTAATATGCGACTGGAGGTCCTGAGAGTACAGCAACACATCATCAAGGTAAAGGACCACTCCTTTGAATAGAAACTCATGTAGGACCTCATTGATTAGGTTCATGAAGACCCCCGGAGCCCCTTGAAGGCCGAAGGGCATAACGAGGTACTCAAACTGCCCCAAAGGGGTATTAAATGCAGTCTTACTTTCATCCCCCTCCCGGATGCGCACACGGAAATATGCATCCCGGAGGTCAAGTTTCGAGAAGATCTTGCCCTTGGTGGCCTCAGCTACCAAGTCCTTAATTAATGGGAGGGGGTAAGCATTGGACAAAGAAACAGCGTTCAAACCCCTATAGTCAGTGCACAACCTAAGCCCCCCGTCCTTCTTCTTTCGGAAAAGTACAGGCGCGGCGAAAGGGGAGGAAGCCGGGCGAATGAAACCTCGGGCTAGGTTTTTATCAATAAAGTTCCGCAGTTCGACTTTTTCAGCCGGCCCCATCGCATAAATTTTACCTTTGGGTAATTTACAGTCAGGCAAAAGTTCAATAGCACAGTCAGTCGAGCGATGAGGGGGCAATTCGTTAGCTTCCTCTTCGCCAAACACCTTTGCCAAGTCTCTATACTCTCGAGGCAAAGAAGCTAACTCTTCCGGTTGCAAAGTGCCGCAGGGGAACTGTGTGGTCGGCTGGTCCCCCCACGAATCCACCCAGCAGTGATCCACACACTTAGCCGACACAAATTTGACAACCCCTTCTTCCCACAAGATGTAAGGGTCATGGGTAAACAACCAGGGACTCCCCAGTACTAAGTCGAACTGCGATTTAGGGGTGACAATGAAGGACCTGGATTCCCAATGATCTCCCGCCCCCAACCGCAAAGCCATAGTCTCGTGCGTACAAGGTTCCATGGGTGCCCCATCCATCTGAGTAAAAATGATGGGGGACTTCAAGGGGACTATCCCCGCTTCCAGTGCAACTAACACTCTAGGGCTGATGAGATCCCTCCCACACCCAGAATCAATCAACGCTCTTACCCTAACGTGGGTTCCTAGGAGCGGATTCATTAAGGAGACAGTCACGAAAAATAGGGAAGGGGTTTCTCTCACCACCTTGGGCGCAGCATTAGAATGGCCTTGTCGTTTTGCGCCTCTCACAACAGGCCGTTGTCGTTTTCCGCCGTTTCAGCCACCAGCTCTTCTTCGGACTCGGCGGCAGCCGGTTCATTTTCCCCCGAACCTTGGGCTGCCTGCAGAGCTTTGGAGAAACGCGGTTTAGCCATCCCCTTCTTCCCCGACAGCGGTGTCTTCGGGCTTGGGGTAGGCGGCTTGTCTTTGACTTGACGGCTGCCACAATCCACAGCGAAA